AATGATTGCTTGTTTTCTAGCATTTTAGTGAGTAAAATATTGATTACTCTCTGGCTCTAAGGCATTTTGTCCCTCCAAAAATGCTTCACAATCTTTTACAATCCCCCAACTTTCATTTTTAGTTTAATGTGTGGTACCGTTGATGTTATTGATAAGTTTTATAGGATTATTTTTAGACTAGAATCCATCAAAGAAGAAATATTAGTTTGGAACAAAACGAAAATAGGTATGGAACGTGATAAAAGAATCATAGAGTATGAAACGAAAATAAAAATGAGCAAACAAAGGTTAATAAATCTGTGAAATTTGTTTACTCATACATCTGCTATTGTCTAATATTTTCCCCCTAAAAACACACTTATCATTTGATATAAATGAATCAAATATTTGTTTTCACCTCTTCTAAAACATTTTGTTTGAACTTTTCTCATTCTCTCCTAAATATTATAAATAGGTATAAGTGATCACAAATTTTCTAATAAGGTAGCTTCGTGATCTCCACAAGAAAACTTTTGACTTTCATCCACTTCAAGTAGGTAATATTAATTACTACGCATTTTTGGTGTTCTTCAACTTTTTGAGATGCATATTAAAACTATGCATGATTTTCTTGTTATAACTTTTATCCCATCGTACTTTTTGTAGACGAAAATCTATATGAGATATTTTATTTGTGACTTTTCTACTATTTTATTTGTGTTGAAGCAATGATCCGATAGTTGTTATTTTCTTCGTCGTGTATATCTATATTTTTGGACATGAAATGTTTATATTTTCCATATTACCATCGATATATAATAAAACAGTTTAAAATTAAAACAATTTTAGACTACATATGCTGGACAATTGATTGATGAATACGTCGTCATTTTCATAAATCTAATTTAAAAGTTAATATTTCAACCAAATTTTTAATCGATAACTACATCATACAAGTTTTCAATGGCTAGATATGTAATGTTTTGGGTTATCCAGAAAAATATTTCACATTTGGCCCAAAACCTTGGAAAAATCCTCCAAAAAAAATGCCTTTAAAATTTCAAAATCAAAGATCAGGAATGAGAACAAAAATGTATTGTTATTTGCATTTCAGACGTTGTCAATTGTTATTAATAAAATGTCATAAATAAGAATGATTTAGAATTTCAAATTAGTTGATAGTCAGAAGAAGTTGCACAGTTGCAACCCATCTATGTGTGGGTGTTGTTATTGGCATTATTAGTTATATTGTTTAATTTACTTCACAATACAAAAGCTACTATTTATCAATTCGCTCATTACAGTTTTATCCACATTTACCTGACTTTCGAAGCACACATTGACTTAATTTTTTCGCTTCAAACTGATATAAAGATTAAGTAAACAAAAGTCAATGAATATGTGAAGTTTTGTTAGATTTGTTAATCTGTTAATTCGCTAATAATTTAAAATTCCCTTCGATTAAAAAAATGAGATTAAAAATTGATTATTTATTCAAATTTAATTTCATTTAAATTAAGGGCCTATTTGATTTTGCGATTTAAAAACAGTTTTTTAGTCAAAAAATAGAAACATATGTTTTTCATTAGATTATTTTTATAATACACTCTCGAAACATACAAAGATGTTTGTATGTAAACTTGAATAAACCTCATAATCACAAACCAAATCTTTAAATTATATTGACTTTGAATAAATTTTAAATTCAGTAAATGTGTTTGTTTTGCATCTAAAACTAGATTATTTATATAAATATTTTTTTAGCATCAAACTTATTGTGTAGTATACAAAGATTAAGTAAAAAAATCAATAAATATTTGAAATTTTGTGAGGTTTGTTAATGAGCTAATAGTTTTATTAAAAATTACCTTTAACTAAAAAATTAGGATTGAAAATTGATTATTTTTTAAATTTAATTTAATTTAAATTAAGGGCCTATTAGATTCTTTTTGTTCTAAGAACAGCTTTTTATTAAAAAAAATAGAAAAATATGATTTTCATTATGTATTCTAGAAGAATAAAAAATTGTACCAAAAAAAAATCAGAATATCTTTTGATATTTGTTATTTGAAAAAATTAGAGAAGAGTCAAGGAATGTTATATTTTCAAGCAAATTATTCTTTCACTCTCTGGTCACCACTATATCATTTTAGATAAATTTTTTAAAATAATAATTCAACTTTTTTTTTGGAGCAAAATTCAAACATTTTTTTAACCTCTTATTATTAAAGCTTTATAACACAAAAACGTTGCTATTATATCTATTTGAAATTAGATAATTTGTTTTGACCAAATGAAATTAGATAATTTCAGAATTTGGAAACCGTTGTTTTAACATCATGAGGAACTGACTATTGACTAATACGATCGTTGAGACCAAATCCCGATTGTGGCGCAACAACATATATTTGTAGGAGGCATTTTTAACTTATTATATATATATATGATTTTCTAAACTGAAAAAACTTATCTTTATGTGAATGCTAAATTAAATAAATGCTCAAGATTAAATAATTCTATCTATGAACCGAAAAATGTGACTTGCATTTAGTTTGCACGTAAAAATATATGTAAAAATAGATTATTATATAAATAAAAAGTGAGCAAACAATGGTTAATCAATCTGTGAAATTTGTTAAGTTGTTTATCTACAATTAATTTAATTTAAATTTAAGTCCGTCTCGCATTTTCTTAAATATACTTATTCATTATTGATAAAAACGAATCAGATTCACCTCTCCTAATTAAAACATTGGTTTGACTTGTATGCTTCTCTCCTAAACATTATAAATAGGCATCAGTGATCATTAGAGTTGCACAAACTTCCTACCAAGAAAGCTTTGTGATCTCCGCAAGGAAACTCTTGAAGTCAAAGAATTCAACTTTCATCCACTTCTCATAGGTAATCCTAATTGATACACATTTTTGGTGTTCTTAAACTTTCCAAGATGCATATTAAAACTACGTATAATTTTCTTGCTATAACTTTTGTCGCATCGCACTTTTTGTTGTGGAAAAACTATCTGAAATATTATGTTTTTGTATTTTTTGGTACAATATTTTATTTGTGTTGAAGCTATGATCCGATAGTTATTTATTTTTTCATCGTCTATATCTATATCTTGGGCAAAATGTTTATATCTAATTATGTTCATTATATTTTACATAAGTATTGAACTGGCTGTGTTTATTTTTTTAATTTATATCTCATTAATAGCATTTATGAACCATATGATCATCTTGTTATTTGATTGAACTCATTGCCACGTTGTGTGTGTGTGTCTCATATTTTTCAATCTTTTCAAACGTAAAACTTGAACACTACTGGAGATGAAAACTAGGTATAGGTTTTGGCGAAATACGTTAGAACACTGATCCAAGTCAGCACAATAGGATCAAGGTAGGGAAAAGGGTCTTCTGGGGTGAGGAGAAAAAATAAGTATTACTTTTAATTATGATTAACAAAACAGTTATGAAAATTATTTTTAAATTATTTTCATTATTAGAATGATATCATTTGTAGAACTTACTAGAATATATGTGTAAAAATAGTATAAATATATAAATTGTTAGAAATATTGTTTTCAAATGTAAAAAACTCGTCTAATATAGAAACAAAAGTACTAGTAAAGTGTAATTATATAGTCATAAAGATCTTGATTAATATGAACTTGAAATTGATGTGCTTACAGGTTCAAGACATTAATTATGCCAATGGAGATATTGATGGTATCGTTGATGCACTCTTTGAAGGAGAACTGCTACATTACAATGCTGATGATGTGCCGGAGAATGATGAAGCATATGTCCGGCATCTTGAGGAGCAACATGCTGCCGCCGTGAACGTGTTGGAGAATGAGGCATATGCCCAGTACTTTGAAGAGCAACTACTACTAATAGAGGCCACTGATGAGTATGACCAACATCCTGTCGCGACCGCCAACGTGCTGGAGAATGATGTATTTTTCCGACATCTGGAAGAGCAACTATTAGACATCACGACGGATGTCGATGATGTGCCGGAGAATGATGCATATGTTCGGCATCTTGAAGAGCAACTGCTAGACGCTGCAACTGCCGCCGGTGATGATGTGCTGGAGAATGATGCATATGTCCGGCATCCAGAAGAGCAACAGCTGACGCCACCACTGTCATCGCCGCTGCCGCCGATGTGCCAGAGAATGAAGCAAGTCAGGCCTTAGTACCGTCCACATGCTCAAACACTTGGCCCTCCAACTGCTATTCGGAGTATCAAATCATATTGAACTCAGAGCCACCCATGAAAATGCCACGTACTTTGGAAGAACACAACGGGTACGTACTTGGAAAACTTTCAATTGAAATTTTTTTAATTTTTCTCATGTTTTTCTTTTGAGTGTTTCTGATTGAGTGAATGGCTTTATGAATATATTTGGTTATATGGCTGTTGGTGAAAAGAAAATAACAAATAGGAGAAAAAACTTTTTATTGATTTAGGAACTAGATGAGAGTGGTTTCTAGTCAACATGTTTATTTAATTGATACTTTTACAAACTATTATTCCTTAATTAGTGGAGGTAGAAAATTGTATTATAAATAATTTACTTAGTTTTCATAATCAACCCAAATTCGTTCAATAGCACTTGCATTATGAGCATCATGAAAGTATATAATATAATCACTAATATTTTCATAATGTGTTTTTCTTTTGTGACAGACAAGTCTTACAAGGACCAGAGATGGTGTCAAATACACCGATTCAAGTATCTAGCAATGCTGAGCAATACAATAATCACCAAACTAACTCTACGGATCATATTTCATTGCATCAATTTGACGAACAAAATCCTTCAAATATTCCACTGAATCAGTCACTACCAACACACCAATTCACCTCATCAATTCCTCATAATTTTCAAGTTCATCATCAGCCACAAGTTCCTTCAAGCTTTCCTGTTCAAATGACATCCTCTCCAACAATAAGTCAGCAGTTTAACCAGCAACAAAGTATCACACAGTCCCTCCCTTGCATGCAAACCAGAATGGTCCACCTGCAACCAAATCTGATGCCCATGTGCCCAAAATTCTCATCATCATCTAATTCCTTTCATGCAACTCCTCAAAATCACATTGCTTCTTCAGTTCGTCCCATACACCAATATAATCCACAACCACATCATGATCCGTTGCTGCCAAATGCATCCCTTGAATTTTCATCGCTCTGTAATAGGCAACACTTGGTCAACCAACCTTTGTCTAACTCAGGGACACCAAGTAATGTTCACACTGATAGCCACAAGGGAAAGTCATGGACTGAGGAAGAACACAGGTGTGTGTAAGCATTGAAAATTTCTCGATTCTTTGATATTGTCTTTTTTAATCATAAAGGTCCTAATATATTTTCTTTTGTTTTCTAATTATAGGTTATTTCTGATTGGATTGCAAACATATGGGAAGGGAAATTGGAAGAACATTTCTGAAAATGTTGTGAAGACAAGGACTCCAGTTCAGATTGCTAGCCATGCTCAGAAGTTCTTTAATCACCAAATCAACAAGGGGAACAAAAAGAGAAGAAGAAGAAGCATCCATGATATCACCAATCCCGATGTTCAAACCCAATGTCAGCATCAAAATCAATTTGTTCCTTCAAGTTTTCCAATGAATCAATCTCATTACAACCCACAGAATCCCCCAAATGTTGTTCACTCTCTTCAATTTGTAAACCCGAACAGCAGATTTCTTGTGTAAAGATTGTTTTTCTTCAACTAATTTTGTAGTATACAATGATTCTTTGTTTTCTTGCATTGTAGTGATCAAAATATTGATAAGTTTTATAGGATTATCTTCAGACTAGAATCCATCAAAGAAGAAATATTAGTTTGGAATAAAACAAAACTAGGTACATATGGAATGTGATTAAGGAATCATAGAGTATGAAACGAAAATATTATTTTCTTCAATAGATCCGCATTGAACGTTCTGTGTTGGGGCTTAAATCAGATATAGTGATGCAAATATTCAATTCTGAAAAATGGTCATTGAGAATTTTGATAACTGATGATGAGGAGCAAACACACAGGGTTTAAAATTTGTAATTTTATATGCAATATAGTGTTGCATAGAAAAAAATGATGTTTGCATCATATATATAGTGATGTTCCTTGCTTGTCAGATTGCTGATTATGCAGATAAAGTATATTTGTTATATCCCCAGAAAGGGGAAATATCCTGAATTAGCATTCTCTAATTAAAAAAATAAAAGCAAAAAATTTAATTTCATATTTTATTATGTAATTTTTTATTGAAAATATGAAAATATATAGTTTCTTAGTATTAGACTATTAGTATAGCTGAGTGTATAATTCAATTTTTTACATTTTCATTTATTAAGCATAAAGTGATGTTGTAATTTTGGAATTCGATAATGTGGGTTCCGAGATTGTTTTTATACACAGTATATTGTACTATAACACGGGTGATTTTGCAACAAACTTATGTTATTAACACCGTAAGAAAACTCACAAGACGGCCATTAAAAGGTGGGTTATTATAGTCTGGGTGATTCTGTGATTGTTTTGAGAATTAAGAGATCACTCATAATTCTTTTTGCATCCTTATTTTTTATTTCTGCAGGTGTTATTTGTTGAACTTCAATACTATAACACGGGTGGCCTTATTAAGACCATGGATTGAGCTATTGACATTTTTTTCCTATTTCTCTCAAACCAAACAGGTCCTGAAGTAATATACTCTTTCTTTATGTCTCAGGAAAAGAAATTATATAATACATTCTCAAAACAAAGATGTTTGTAAAATTTAAAAATATTTGCAAATTTTAATTAATTCCTAATAATCACAAAGTAAATCTTTAAATTATATTGACTTTGAACAACGTTTCATTGAATGTGTTTATTTTGCATCTAAAACTAGATTATTTAAATAAATATTTTTTTGCCTTCAAACTGATTATTTATATAAAGATTAAGTAAACAAATGTCAATAAATATGTGAAGTTTTATGAGATTTGTTAATTCCCCACAATTTAATTTAAAATTACCTTTGATTAAAAAATTAATTGATAATTGATATTTTTAAATTTAATTTAATTTAAATTAAGGGCCTATTTAATTTTGTGATTTAAGAACAGTTTTATATTCAAAAATAAAAAAATATGTTTTTCACTTGATTATTTACGTAATACACTCTCAAAACATACAAATATGTTTGCAAAAATTGAAAATATTTGTAAATTTTGATAAATCTAATAATCAAAAAATAAATCTTCAAATTATATTGACTTTGAATACAGTTTAATTTCACAGAATGTTTTTATTTTGTATCTAAAAATAGATTATTTATATAAATATTTTTTTGGCTTCAAACTTATTATATATACAAAGATTAAGTAAACAAAAGTCAATACATATTTGACGTTTCAGATTTGTTAATTTGTTGATTCGGTAATATTTTAATTTGATATTCACTTCAATTAAAAATTATTATTTTTGAAATTTAATTTAATTTAATTTAAGAGACTACTAGATTTTTTTTCATTTTAAGAACAGTCTTTTATTCAGAAAAAATAGAAAAATATGTTTTCCATCATGTATTCTAGAAGAATGAAAAATTGTACCAAAACAAAAAAAAAATCAGAATATCTTTTTGATAGTTTGTTATTTGAAAAATTAGAGGAGAGTCAAAGAATGTTATATTTTCAAGCAAATAATTCTTTCACTCGCCACTATATCATTTTAGATATATTTGGAAAATAATAATTTAAGCAGATTTTTTTAGCTTTTTATTTTGAAAACTATTTCTTTTTTTTTTTGTGAATTAAAACTATGTCTTCAAAAATTATTCTACGGAATCGTTTCATATATATCACAAAAACATTTCTTTTGCCAACCGCGTATTATATCTATTTGAAATTAGATAATTTTTTTGACCAAATGAAATTAGATAATTTAAAAAATTGGAAACGGATGTTTTAACATCTTGATGAACTGACTTTGACTAATATGATCATTGAGACCAAATCCCGATTGTGGCGCAACAACATATATTTGTAAAAGATATTTTTAACTTATTTATATATATATGATTTTCTAAATTGTAAAAACTTATCTTTATATGAATGCTAAATTAAATAAATGCTCATGATTAAATAATTCTATATAAGAACCGAAAAATGTGTGACTTGCATTTAGTTTGCACGTAAAAATATATGTAAAAATAGATTATTATACAAATAAAAGTTGAGCGGTTAGTTAGTCTGTGAAATTTGTTAATTCTTTTATCTGCTATTAACTTAATTTAATTTAATTTAAATTTAAGTCCGTCTCACATTTTATTAAATATATTTATTCATTGTTGATAAAAACGAATCAGATTCACCTCTCCTTAAACATTGTTTTAACTTGTATCCTTCTCTCCTAAACATTATAAATAGGTATAAATGATTAATTAGAGTTGTGCAAATTTGCTACTAAGGGAGCTTTAATTTGCGATCTCCACAAGGAAACTTGTTTTTTGTTTTTTTGGCCAAACCACAAGGAAACTTTTGAAGTCAAAGAATTTAACTTTCATGCACTTCTCATAGGTAATCCTAATTAATATGCATTTTTGGTGTTCTTTAACTTTTCTAGATGCATATTAAAACTGTATAATTTTCTTCTTATAATTTTACGGCATCGTACTTTTTGCTGTGGAAAAACTATACGAATTATTATGTTTTTGTTTTTCTCGGTATAATATTTTATTTGTGTTGAAGCTATGGTCCGATAGTTATTATTATTTTCATCGCGTGTGTGAATATATATATAGATTTTGGGCCATAGAACGATTATATCCATACACGTTCATTATGTTTTACATAAATATTGAAGTGGTTATTTATATTTGTTTAATTCATAACTTATGATTAAGATTTATGAAACATATAATCATCTTGTTATTTGATTCAACTCATTGAAACGGTACGTATGTGTCATATTTTTCAATCTTTTCAAACGTAAAACTTGTACCCTACTAGAGATGAAAACTAGGTAGGTTTTGGCGAAATATGTCTGAACAGTAATCCAAGTCTGCAAAATAGGATTGAGGAAGGGAAGAGAGTCTTCTGGGGTGAGGGGTAAAAAATAGTCATTACTTTTAATTATAATTAACTAAATAATTATGAAAATTATTTTTAAATTATTTTCATTAGAATATTATAAATAATAGAATTTATTAGTATGTATCTGTAAAAAATAATATTAATTATATAATTTGATAGAAATATTATTTTCAAATGTAGAAAAACTCGTCTGGTCTGTAGATATGTATAAACAAAAGTAGTATTAAAGTATTATATAGTCGTAAAGCTCCTGATTAATATGAAATTGAAATTGATGTGCTTACAGGTTTGAGACAAAATGCCAATGGAGCTGGATATTGATGGAATCGTTGATGCACTTTTTGAAGGGAATCTGCTAAATTACAATGCTGATGATGTGCCGGAGAACAATGAAGCATATGTCCGGCATCTTGAGGAGCAACATGCTGCCGCCGTCGACGTGCTGGAGAATGATGAAGCATATGCCCAACACCTCGAAGAGCAACTACAACTGATAGAGGCCGCTGGCATGTCAGATATTGATGAATATGTCCAGCATCCTGAAGAGAAACTCCTAGACACCAGCACCGTCCCCGCCGGGGCCGTCAACGTGCCGGAGAATGACGTATATATCCGACATCTGGAAGAGCAACTACTAGACATCACGACCACTGTCGATGATGTGCCGGAGAATGATGCATATGTTCGGCATCTTGAAGAGCAACTGCTGGACGCCATAACCGCCGCCGTTGATGACGTCCGGGAGGATGATACAGATCTCCGGCATCTGGAAGAGCAACAGCTAGACAGCACCCTTTCATCGCCGCTGCTGGTGATGTGCCAAGGAATGAAGCAAGTCAGGCTTTAGTATCGTCCACATGCTCAAACGCTTGGCCCTCCGACCGCTATTCAGAGTATCAGATCATATTGAACTCTCAGCCACCAATGAAAATATCACGTACTTTGGAAGAACGCAATAGGTACGTACCTAGAAAATTTCAATTGATGTTTTTTTTTTTTTAATTTTTGCTCATGTTTTTCTTTTAAGTGTTTTTGATTGAGTGAATTTTCTTATGAATCCGTTTGGTTATATTGCAAATAAATTAGCAAAAAGAAAATAATAAATAGGAGAAATTTTTTTAATAGAACAAACTGATTTAAGAACTAGAGGAGAGTGGTTTCTAGTCAACATGTTTATTTAATTGATACTTTTACAAATTTTTATTGCTTAATTAGTAGAGGTAGAAAAATGTATTTAATCCTTTTATATTGCTATATTAATGATCATAATTGCTTTTTGTTATAATAAAACTTAAAGAGGGCTCATATAGGTGACATGATGCGAATAATAAAGAAAATTATAACATCGTATGGAGAGTCAATTTGATTCTTTTTTCTTTTTTGAAAACGTTAACAAACTTCCTGACCAACATGCTTGGAAATTCTAATTTGTTTGTTTATATTTACCACATACCATATCATTTATTATTACTTCTTCCATTCTAAAGACAGTAAGATCTTACTTCATTTGATCTCTTATATATATATATATATATATATATAATTCTTGTTTCTCAAATTAATTTATCCTTTTTTTCATAGTCTTAAACTAATTTATTTAACTTATAAACTGATATATTATCTCATGATACATAGAAATATTTTAAAAAAATCATATCACATTTATTAGAAATAAATAATTTATTTAGTTTTCATAATCTACCCAAATTCATTCAATAGCACTTGCATTATGAGCATCACGGAAGTAAATAATATAATCATTAATATCTTCATAACATGTTTTTCTTTTGTAACAGACAAGTCTTACAAGGACAAGAGATGGTGACATATACACCGATTCAAATATCTAGCAATGCTGAGCAATACAATAATCACCAAACTAATCTATGGATCATATTTCTGGTCTAACTCCTCAAACTCATACTATTACTTCAGTGCATCAATTTGACCAACAAAATCCTTCAAATATTTCACTGAATCAGTCACTACCAACACACCAATTCACCTCATCAATTCCTCATGATTTTCAAGTTCATCATCAGCCACATCCCATGAATGAATTAAACCCACCACAAGTTCCTTCAAGCTTTCCTGTTCAAATGACATGTCCAATACTGAATCAGCAGTTTAACCTGCAACAAAATATCACACAGACCACCCCTAACATGCAACTCGAAATGGTCCACCCGCATCCAAATCTGATGCCCATGTGCCCGAAATTTTCATCATCATCAAACCCATTTCATACACATTCAACTCCTCAAAATCACATTGTTTCTTCAGTTCATCCCATACACCAATATAATCCGCAACCACATCATGATCAGTTGCTGCCAAAGGCATCCGTTGAATTTTCATCACTCTGTAATAGGCAACACTTGGTCAACCAACCTTTGTCTAGCTCAGGGACACCAAGTAATGTTCATACTGATATCCACAAGGGAAAGTCATGGACTGAGGAAGAACACAGGTATGTGTAAGCATTGAAAATTTCTCGATTCTTTGATGTTGTCTTTTTTAATCATAAATGTCCTAATATATTTTCTTTTGTTTTCTAATTATAGGTTATTTCTGGTTG